CCATATAGGAAGTAGGGCAAGTCCCACAAGGTTTCAAAGATGCATCTATAGTGCACATCTATAAAAGGAAAGGAGACAAGACATCCTGTGATAATCCCCGTGGGATATCACTTCTTTGCATCGCATCTTGCCAGGGTCATCCTAAATAGACTCATGACACATATTGCTGATTCCATTATCCCTGAATCCCAGTGCGGATTTCGTGCAGGCAGAGGCACCAGTGACATGGTTTTTGCTGTCCGTCAGTCACAGGAAAAATGCCGCGAGCAGAATCAAGAGCTCCACTTGGTGTTTGTAGACCTCACCAAGGCCATCGATACCGTGAAACGGAACGGTCTATGGAAGATTCTGCAAAAGTTTGGATGTCCAGATAAGCTGACAGAGCTGATCGCCTCCTTTCACAACGGCATGCAAGCCAGAGTCCAAGCAAATGGTGATACCTCGGATCCATTCCAAGTGAGAAATGGAGTGAAGCAGGGCTGCGTTCTTGCCCCGACTTTGTTCTCCATCCTGTTTGCAGCAATGCTGCTCGATGCCTTCCACAAATGCAACAGAGGAGTATATATCCGATTTCGTACTGATGGGAAGCTTTTCAACCTGCAAAGACTCAAAGCTAAGACTAGAGTGTTCGAGGCCATACTACGGGATTTTCTATTTGCTGATGACTGTGCACTGGTTGCACACTCCCATGGAGACATGCAGTACATAACAGATTCGTTTGCAGTTACCTGTAGACGATTCGGATTGACGATCAGCCTCGGAAAAACCGAAGCCATGTTCCAGCCCTCATCATCACAGGCTGCCAATGCACCACCACCTCTTTCCATTATCATCAGTAATACAGAAATCAAGACTGTGGATAATTTCTGCTACCTGGGTAGCACCATCATGAGCAGTGGATCCCTGGGAGTGAGGTGATGCTGCGCATTGGAAAGGCGAGCAGCCAGCGGCCAGCTGACAAAGAGGCTTTGGCAAGACCGTGGCATTCGCCTCTCCACTAAGATTTCCGTGAACAGAGCTGTGGTCTTGAGCACACTTCTGTATTGCTGCGAGACATGGACCGCCGGCACATCAAGCAACTAGAGCAATTTCACCAACGATGTCTGCGGAAGATCTGTAACATCAAGTGGCAGGACAGAGTGTCCAACCTTCAGGTCTTAGAGAAGTGTGACCTCCCTAGCATTGAGTGCTTGATCATTAAGTGCCAACTGAGATGGACAGGACACGTCATCCGAATGGAGGATAGTAGAATTCCGAAGATGCTGCTGTATGGACAGCTGAAGGAAGGGCACCGCGACCAGGGAAGACCCTTCAAGAGGTACAAAGACACTCTGAAGGTGAATCTCAAGAGGTGCAACTTTGACGTGAACTGCCTGTGACAGAGCTTTTGGAGACACCAGTGTGCACAAGCACAAATTAAGACAAAGAAGGAGAGGAGGAAACAGTGCTCTGCTTCTGTGGACTCCTTCCCATGCAGCTTCTGTGGCCAATTTTGTGTGTCACGAATTGGTCTTCATTTCCATATGAAGACCCACCTCGGCAATTGACTTGTCTGCCTACTCATCTGTCGTACGACAAGAGAATCCATCATATATATATATATATATATATATATAATATATATATATATATATATATATATATATATATATATATATATATATAGTATATATATATATATATATATAATATATATATATATATATATATATATATATATATATATATATATATATATATATATATATATATATATATATATATATATATATATATATATATATATATATATATATATATATATATATATATATATATATATATATATGTGTGTGTGTGTGTGTGTGTGTGTGTGTGTGTTATATATATATATAGTATATATATATATATATATATATATATATATATATATATATATATATATATATATATATATATATATATATATATATATATATATATATATATATATATATATATATATATATATATATATATATATATATATATATATATATATATATATATATATATATATATATATATATATATATATATATGCATCATATTTCCAAGGACCATTTGATTTTCCCTAAAGAAGTTGACTTTATTAGGAATATAGTGAGAGAAAACAATTTTTCCGTCAAGTTCACCAAGTAACTTTAAGAAGCCTTTAATAAACCTATTGTTCATTTCATCCCTTTTAATTGTACGTAAAGATTACATAGGGACTATTATTTACAAGTTTGAGAGAGGACTATCAAACTAAATTTAAATAAATTCTTCTAAGGTCATCCATATACAACACCTCTTGCCATTGCTAATTCACTCAAATTTTTAGACAGAATTCACAAACTTGACGTTCTTGAATTGTTGATAAATTATCGCACATTAGCTGTAATGTTACTTACATTAGGAAAACATCCCATAACCTTTTCATACCCACTGAAGAACATGGTTTCTCATTTAGGAATACTAATTATAAGTTTAAAAGACCAACCAAATACTCTAGAATTGGTTGAACTAACAAATCATTCCTTTTCCAATATTGATTATTTCATTTCGTAAAAAAGTCCTAAGGTTATCCTAAATATTTTTTTCTTTTAGACAGTAGATCTAGTTTGGTAGACAACCGTTCCTTCTCATTACTTCCATTGACGCAGTTCTATATTCTCATCCTTACTACGCAGCTGTTTGTCCTTAGATTTAAAAAATATATATTTTATGGTTAATAATGCTCTAAATTCACAATTGTTCCATTCCTTAAACCTTTCTGCACATATATTGAAATAAGCAACTTGTGGAAAATAGAGAACCAGCTTACCCACTAACCTGATACTCTTTGTTTGTATGGAGTGAAATTAGATAGTAATTTAATGATTTGATTGATATTATGCATATTTCTAGTTACAATGGATAGTAAATTATGTATAATGTCTGTGATTTACTATGTTAATTGCGTGTCTCAAATCTGAGAGATCTGGGATATATTATCTGATAAGTCAGGTTTTATTTACCTAGGTTTATTATTGTTCAACTTCTAATTAAGTACATTGTATTGTAGAGGTTAAGAAACCAAACTGGATTTTATCTCTTTATTGTTAATGAGCTAAGCACAAGTAATGTCAGGTCAGCAGTCGTGTGGCGAATGATAATTCCACCTCAGGTCCGGCGGCTTAAGTACCTGACCGGCGATGTTAGCTCGGCCGATTAGGGCGGTCCCGAAGCAGGGGTCGGCCAATTACAGGTCAGGTGCGGTTCTAGATTGATGGCCAATCAGGAACCGCTACAGCACTCCCCCTCTAGTTTCGCGGTCGCGAAACGGACTCTGGCGATCCTGAAGGGCTGCTGCAGGTGTGCGGGTTTGGCGCGGTCGATGGTCACGGTGTCTTCTCCCTTTGGGCGGCGGATGGTAATCGTCTTGTCGCCTCTTCGGATGACCGGGAATGGACCCTCATACGGAGGACAGAGAGGAGGTCTGGGATGTTTTCTCACGAAGGCGTGAGAGCAATCCTGGAGTCCTGCAGGCATGTATATGTACTGCTGTCGGGTGGGTCTCGTCGGTCGGCTGCGTACCCGGGCCATTCGTTCGCAGAGTTGTTTGCCGAAGGTCCCGGGTTCGAAGTTGCTGGCTGTGACAAGGAAATCTGCAGGGAGGGCGAGCGTTGTCCCGAAGACCATTTCTGCGCTGGTGCACTGCAGGTCCTCTTTGAACGACGTCCGGATGTTGAGGAGGACATGAGGAAGTTGGTCGACCCATCTCCTGTTAGGGGAGAAGGATGTTAGGGCCTGCTTCATATGCTGGTGGAGTCGCTCGACCATGCCGTTGGCACAGGGGTGGTAGGCAGTCGTCCTGATTCTTTTGGACCTGAGCAGGATCATTAGGTGACGCCAAAGTCCGGACTCGAACTGGGCGCCGCGGTCTGTAGTGACGGTTTCCGGGGTGCCGAAGCGGGAGATCCAGGTATTGAAGAAGGTCTTGGCGACTGTCGCTGCGGTGATGTCGCGGATGGGCGTAGCCTCGGGCCATCTGGTGAAGTGGTCGATCATCGTCAGGATGTAGCTGTAGCCGTCGTCCATGGGCAGGGGTCCCACTATGTCTATGTGGACGTGTTGGAACCTACTGTCTGGAATAGGAAAGGGCTGGAGGGGGGATTTGGTGTGCCTGTGGATCTTGTTTCTTTGGCATTCGATACAGGAACGACACCACTGCCGAACGTCCTTGTTGATGGCGGGCCAGACGACCTTGCTGCGGATGATGTGTTGGGTGGCCCGGTTGCTGCGATGCTGGTGGTAGGCATCGAAGAATCGCCGGCGGAGGGAAGGCGGGATGTATGGGCGAGGGTAGCCGAGGGAGACATCGCAGAGAAGGTCGTCGCAGGAGTTCGGGATTTTGACTCTCTCAAGGTAGAGGGAAGTCTGGCCCTCTAGGAGTGGAGTCAAGGACGTTATGGCGTTGCTCTCTGCTTACTAGATGGTAGTCCACTGCATCGTCGGCGAGAGTCGCAGCAGATATGGTCACCTCGACAGAGCATCGGCGGCCTCATTGTCCGAGCCCCCGAATGTGCCGGATGTCCGTCGTGAACTGGGAAATGAAGTCCAGGTGGCGCTCCTCGCGAGGGGATTGGCGGCGGGTCCTCGAGTGTAAGGCGAAGGTGAGGGGTTTGTGGTCCGTCAGGATGTGGAATTCCTTAGCCTCCACAGACGGCTGGAAATGCCTCACCGCGGAGTATGCTGCCAGGAGCTCCCTCCCGAAGGCATGTACCGTGACTGGCGTTTCGACAGGGTCTGCGAAAAGAAGGCAAGGGGTTGCCATTGCTTACCCTGGCGTTGCTGGAGGACCGCACCGATGGCAGTGTCGGAGGCGTCGACCGCTATGCTGAGGGGAGCCTCGGGCAGCGGATGGTTAAGCAGGGTGGCAGCGGCAAGGGCTTCTTTGCAGGCTTGGAAGGCTTCGTTAGTCGGGGATATCCACTCGATTCTGGTATTTCTGCTGGCACTGTTAGGTGTGATCAGGGCGTGGAGGGGCTTGAGGAGCTGGGCACACCTGGGGACGAACCTTCTGTAGAAGTTAAACATGCCCAGGAATTTCCGTAGCTGCTCCGTCGCTGGCCTGGGGAACTTCCTTATAGCGGTGACCTTCTCCTGCGCTGGGGTGATGTCTTGGGGGTGACGGTGTGGCCGAGGAAAGAGAGGGAAGCGACACCGAACTGGCATTTTCCCGGGTTGATAACGACGCCCGCGTCTTGCAGTCTGCCGAAGAGGGCGCGGAGATGGCGGGCGTGGTCTGCTTCTGAGATGCTGGCGCCGAGGATGTCGTCGATGTAGGCGAAGACGCCCTCAAGGCCGCGAGTCACGTCGTTTATGAATCGCTGGAAGGTCTGGGCGGCGTTCCGAAGACCGAAGGACATCCTGAGGAATTCAAAGGCCGAAAGGTGTGATCACGGCCGTCTTGGGGATGTCCTCTACAGCGATCGGGATTTGGTGGAAGGCCCGCACGAGGTCGATCCTGGAAAAAACCGTACAGCCAGACAGCTCGTGGGAGAAGGAGTGCAGGTGCGGCAGGGGTATCTGTCGGGGGCGGTGATCGTGTTGAGGTGACGGTAATCACCGTACGGGCGCCAGTCACCATCCTTCTTCACCAGATGCAGAGGGGCCGCCTATTGACTGCTGGAAGGGCGTATAATCCCCAACTGCATCATATGGTCGAACAGCCCTGGCACTGCGACATCTGTCGGGGGCGAGCGGACGGCAGCGAGAGTGGGCAGGGGGACCGTGGGTGACGATGTGGTGCCGGACTTCGTGCCGTGGTTGGGTGGCCCGGTTGATCGGCTTGGTCAAGGCCCGGAATTCCCGCAGGATGTTCTTGAAGGCGCAGGTCCTGGGAAGCACTGTATATATTAGGGGGGTACTTACCAGAGCCGGAGCAGCGTGCGTGCGGGCCCCGGTTCGGTGGATCAGGGCCATACTTTGAAGATCAACCGTCAGACCGTAGTGCGCCAAGAAGTCGGCGCCGATGATGGGTTGAGGGACGTCGGCGACGAGGAAGATCCACTGGAATCGTTGGGCGGGCTCGCCTTCCAGCGAGAGGGTCCTCGAACGCTCGCCGTAAGTGTTGATGGGCGATGTGTTGGCAGCTTCCAGAGTGCGGGAGGAGGAGAAGCGTTTATCTCTGTGGGAGGCCGGGAGGAGGCTGACCTCGGCCCCTGTGTCAACGAGGAAACGTAGGCAGGAGGAGGCATCTCGGACGTACAATAAACGCCTCCGAGGTCCGCGAAAGACAGGCGCACCCAGTTTCCGCGGTACCCTCCAATCTTTGAGCGGCGGTGCAGGAGCGCGGAAGCGAGGCAGGCGGTTAGGCGGTAGAGATCGCCTGAAGTCCCGGTCACTGTGTGGCGGCGAAGGGGTGCGACAGCGAGAGCGTTCCTGTGTAGATATCTTCTGCACAGCCTCGGATAGTGTGGCGACGTGAGCTGCAAGGGATCCCAACGTCACGGCGGAGGTGGTGGTTGCGGCAGACACTGTCGCTTTTGACGGTGTGGGTGCCCTAGCTGCGAGCATCGCGTCGGCTTTTAGGGCAAGGTGCTCCAATGGGGCATCTGACACCAGCAGGATTTGCTGGATATCAACCGCCTGAGGAAGAGAGAGCGCATGACGTCTGGCGGGAGCGTCGTGCCGGTGCGGGTGAGGAGGCTCTGAAAGTGGTGAAGGATTTCTGTGGGAGTACGGCTGTCCGCGGCGTCAGACGAGAGGAAGGAGCTTAACTCGGTCAGAGGGTTAGGTGCTGCTCGCCTAAGAATGGCCTCCTTAAGCTCGTCGTAAGTGGCGCACCGATGATCATTCAGGAGGTCGCCGACGGTCATAAGTTCTGGCGGGAGGTTAGTGACCAGCAAGCGAAATTTAGTGGTCTGGGTGGTGATGTTCCTGAGGAGGAATTCCTGCTCCACTTGAAAAAACCATTCCGGCAGACTGGTAGCGTCCTGTGTGTTGCTGACATCTTGTGTAAAACCTTGGGTCACTCCGAGGGTCACCAGTGTTGAGGTTAAGAAACCAAACTGGATTTTATCTCTATATTGTTAATGAGCTAAGCACAAGTAATGTCAGGTCAGCAGTCGTGTGACGAATGATAATTCCACCTCAGGTCCGGCGGCTTAAGTACCTGACCGGCGATGTTAGCTCGGCCGATTAGGGCGGTCCCGAAGCAGGGGTCGGCCAATCACAGGTCAGGTGCGGTTCTAGATTGATGGCCAATCAGGAACAGCTACTGTATCATTCTCAAAAAAAAAAAAAAAAAAAAAAAAACTTGGGTCACTCCGAGGGTCACCAGTGTTGAGGTTAAGAAACCAAAGGATAAGGATAAGTCCGATATGCGAAGCTGAGCCTCGCCCGGGCTATGGGGGGAGCCCGGCCTGTGCCGACTAATGTCGACTCGATCACCGTGTGTCAGCAAGTGCTGACGCGACAGAGCTTAGTCCCTACCCACCGTGGTGCCCAGCCACAGCAGTAACCTCCGAGCGACAATTGCAACTTCTCACGCCTGGGCGGGGCGCGAACCGCCGACCCCTCGGATGAGAAGCCGACACGTTACACGCTAGTACCTAGCCTGGAGGCTCAAGAAACCAAACTGGATTTTATCTCTTTATTGTTAATGAGCCAAGCACAAGTAATGTCAGGTCAGCAGTCATGTGGCGAATGATATTCCACCTCAGGTCCGGCGGCTTAAGTACCTGACGCGAATGTTAGCTCGGCCGATTAGGGCGGTCCTGAAGCAGGGGTCGGCCAATCACAGGTCAGTTGCGGTTCTAGATTGATGGCCAAAAAAAAAAAAAAAACTACACACACACACACACATATAATATGGTATATTATATATATATACATATATATATATATATATATATATATATATATATATTATATATATATATATATATATATATACATACATTATATTATATATATATATATAATATATATATATATATATATA